GCACGATGCGCGTTCTTCGCTCGTGCTCGCACTCTCATCGCCAACCGACCTTAAGTGCTCGTCCTATTCCTTTAGCTCTCCCGACGGCCATGGATCCCAACCATCCAACCCAATACAATCACCAGCTCGCCAAATCCAACCGTCCTCTATTCTTTGCTGACCACGCCTTCGAGCTTCCATTATCCAAACTCGCATTTTTCTCGCACAAGGCTTGCACCAACATTGACTTGCTTTTCGAGCCTTCGCTTTGCTTCGTCTCTTGGCCATCCGTTTCCTCGCCTTCAACTTCAGCTTCGGGCCACATCCTTTTGGCCAATCTCTTACACATGATGGCCGGTAAATTGGACTTGTCGGCTCCTCTAGCATGTTCTCTAGCCATTTATCGAGACCATCGCCATCCTCATCCTCCGACTCGCCTGGGTTGATGACCACTTCCGTATCATTCCTCTCCTCTTCAAGACTTTCCTTGTCCTCAGGGATTAGAAAATTCAGCTCTCCTTCATCTCCATGGTTTTGAGCATCGATCACCATTGCTTCTCGGGCTTGTACGAGTTGTCTTTCATACTCCTCCTTTTGCTCGTACATCTCCTCCAATTACTCTTTCTCCCAAGGGGTTAATTCCCTCTCCAAACTTTAGAGGTATTCGAGATCCTCCCAATCCAACTCATCTAATGGTAACATCATGACTCTCTCTTCTTTTTTTTTTTTGACTCAAAAAATTCAAAAATAATTCGAACCAAAAAAATTCAAAAAACAAAGAGAAATTCGGCCCCTAAACAAAAGGTAATAACCAAAAAAAAATAACAAAGGACTAGATGACACTTTATTTTTTAAGTCTTTCAAAAATAAATTGAAAAATTCGAACAAGAAATTCGAAAATTTCAAACCAAAAGGAAAATAAATTCGGTCCCTCAGCAAAAGGCAAAACTGAAAAAAAGAAAAAGATAAGATAGATAAAAACACGATCAGCGCCTCTCAATGAAAGCACCAATGATGACAGACCGTGTTTTTACTCTATACGGGTTGTGAATAATCGCGCACTCATGGCCTTCGATTACTCACGATAAGTGTATCTAACAGGCGCACTATCGGCCTTCTCCTAGACACTGTGACTTCAAGACGCTCTAATGGCCTTCTCCCCGACACTGAATGTAAACACGCACTAATGGCCTTGTTTAAACACACGTAAGAACAACAAGTTCCCCCTTTGAGATTCACTCATCAATTCCAAGACTCAACATTCAACATATTATTAATGAAGAGGTACATGGGTATTTATAGGTGCAAAATAAATCTAATTCTAATCTAACTAGATCTCTTAATATATGCAATAAAATAAATCCTAAT